TAAAATGACTATTGGTCATTACGAACAATTAAACACTTCCACTTTGGGACGAATTTCAGGTCAACATTCAGAACTAACGAGGCCTCTAAACATCTGATATGCATTTTCAGCTGACTGTACCATTTCATATTTCCATTTCCATTTCACCATCAGAGGTGGTGCTTAAAAGGCTGAAGGATATTTGCTGTGTGCTCTGGAGTGAAACAGAAAATTTAAGAGAAGCTTTCACAGTGAAAACAGTGGGAATGAAACATTCAGGCAAACAAATAACAAGAAAATGCATCCAGCATCAACTATACATTCTTCACCTGGAGACCTCTAAAGCTTACTTGTCTGGGCTGCGGAAGAATTATGTTCAGAAGATAAACGTTACTTCCTACTCACCCAGAGGATCCATCAAACTCCTTCTCAGAGAGGGTTCCTGCATTGGAAATGAACCTCCTCCTTACCTGCAGCTGATTACTTATTTAATATACAGCCACCGCATGCCTGCCTCTCTCCTCTTCTCTGTTTAAATCTCTGGCTAAAATTATCCTTGTCTAAAAGTGCATGCAGGGGTAAGCTTTTCTCTCTCGCTTTCTCTCTAGCAGCTATCGACTAAAATAATAAATTCCACAAACTTTCAAATTTTGGAACCAATTGGGGTTATACTTAAAAAAAATCAATACTTGAGAGAACCGTATATAGGTGGTCTCCAAGTTGCATCTAAAAATTTGTTTGTATGTCAGTTGCATGGAACTTGAGACACAGAGATTTCCTCTCCAGAAGTAAAGCTACATCTGGTAGGTTGGTTCCTTGGCCAGACCACAAATCATTCTAATCCTTCGGGCAGCTGGATTTAGCACTGGCTGTACTAGCTTGAGTTCAGGGAGCTGGGATCCATGCAAGTCAGAAGTGAGGAGAAAACATCTCTAAAAACAATTTTGAAATAAGCAGTTTGCTCTGGTTATGTCACCCCTTTTAGCCCCCAGCTCCCATCTAAATGGCCCGGAAAGAGTGAGCTTGCCCTAGTCACTTCTTCACATTCCCTCGGGAGTCGGCCTGTTTTTCTCCACTGCACACCTTAGGCCAAACTTACAGACCTTCCCTTCACTTACATCACAAGGAGCTGCTAATCTTCACTAGGTGTCAGTTTGTCGCTGGACTTCTTTCAATGCACACACATGTGTAAATGACCAACGGTGCTTTAACCTTCCCAGAAGAATTTGCACTTTGAGTAAAGGATGTTATCACTCACCTGAACTGAGGATTTGTTTGGGGGAGGTGGGGTGAAAGTCAGCGCATGGCCGACCAACACCGCTCAGAGTTGGGTTTCCAGGCCTTATTCCAATTTCACTTCCGAACCTATTTGCTAAAAGCTCCATGAGTTTTCAGAAGAGCGAGGCAAGGGCACGCAGGTGTGGGCCGGGGGAGCCGGGGGAGCGGTTCCTACTTGGGAGCCTGCTTGTCCTGCTAATTTCCTACAGCAGGGTAGGGAGAGCTCTGGGGGTCAGGAGCAGCAGCACAGCTGGAAGACAGGCAAACCAGCCCTCAGGCCCCAGAGAGTGGACTTGCGTAGGTCCGGAGCGAGGCTCAGGAACCTGCGCTTTCAAACACTCCGTGTGATTCTGACTTTGGACTGAGAAAGACATTGAGGGGCAGATCATTTGACTATATTTTAAATTTAGGTAATTACACTCTACATCATTTCCTATAGGATACTTAACATATTCAACTCCACCCAAACCACTAACTAAAAACAAAACAAACAAGCAAAATGACCTCCCTAATGGGGCATCAGGTCCTTCAAATTGCACCTCGTCATCATAGTTTTAGGTTCCAAAAACTACATTCCTTTTCAATAGCTCTTAAATTTAACTAATGCCAGAAGCTTTCAAATGTAGATCTAAGAAAGAAAACGCAACACACATACGTTTGGAGGCAGATTGAAGGTTTCAAATCATGGGGTCAAATGTACATTATCACTTAATTTCCACATTTAAGCCTCAGTTAAGGCCCAAATTTCTTACTCTTCAAACACTAAATTGGCATGAAATATGAACATACGTGTAAGAGCAATTAATGGAAGTAGTTCTTACTCAGGAAATCCTTCGATTTGGTTTCCTAAAGTAAGATAGGCCTTTCAATTCTCTTGTGCATATTTTATGATCTGCCTAAAAAAAAATCCCGTCCTCTGCACCATATCAAGGTGCTCGTTTAACAAAAAGATCACATTAATACTGCGGCAGGGCTTAACTTCAGAAGTTCCTCAACTAATTGCTTAAAATGTCAACCTTTATTTGATATTAATACATTTGCATTCAAATATTTATAATCTTTTTTTTTGTTTTTTTTTCCTGAGGAAGAACAGCCCCTGAGCTAACATCTGATGCCAATCCTCCTCTTTTTTTCTGAGGAAGATTGGCCCTGAGCTAACATCCGTGCCCATCTTCCTCTACTTTATATGGGACGCCGTCACAGCATGGCTCGACAAGCAGTGCGTCGCTGCGCGCCTGGGATCCGAACCGGCGAACCCCGGCCACTGCAGCAGAGTGCGCGCACTTAATCGCTTGCGCCACCAGGCCGGCCCTAATCATTCTTTTTTTTTTTTTTTTTTTTTGCTGAGGAAGACCGGCTCTGAGCTAACATCTATTGCCAATCCTCCTCCTTTTTTTTCTTCCCCAAAGCCCCAGTAGATAGTTGTATGTCATAGTTGCACATCCTTCTAGTTGCTGTATGTGGGACGTGGCCTCAGCATGGCCAGAGAAGCAGTGCGTCGGTGCACGCCCGGGATCCGAACCCGGGCCGCCAGTAGCGGAGCACGCGCACTTAACCGCTAAGCCACGGGGCTGGCCCTAATCATTCATTTTTTATGCATGGAATTCTTATTCTTGAGAGTTGGGGCCCTCTTTTTTCAAACCTCTATTCAAGGAAGACAAAGCAGCTCACTCAAGTTTTCTTTTTACTAATCTTTAAAAAAAAAAACATTCATCAGGCAAAAGCTCAACTGGATGTTAACATGTTAACGGCAAAACGCACTGTCTCCCTTGGGCTTGAAAGCAACTGTATCATCCTTGTGATTGGTTCCTGCACCTCCCAAACTCAAAACCTTTCAATTGGTCCACACAAACATAGTTAAAATACTCTCTAATTCTTCTATTTCAAAGAAAATTATTTGCAGAGTCCTTTCCAATCATTCCTTTTTCCTCTAGTGGGTGGAAGGAACTGAGTGTAGATATGAGAGAGGACAGGAACTCTGTTCTGCCAAAGGGAAGAGAGAAATCATTTGGACTCCCCTACCTAGTTAGATATTTTACATCTGCACATAACACAAATTGAGATACTTCTAATAGGTACAAGACTGACTTTATTTTTGTCACTGCCACGGTGCAGATGATTTAAACAAATGTAACTATAGTTTATTAGCTTCTTTCTCCCTAACTTCAGATGTTATTTAAACAATACAGAGCATGATGCATTAGGATGCTTTTAAAATGTTAAGTTTAATGTGAAAATCACTGGAATTTATATAATAGCTGCCTTGTTTACATCCCCCTAGCTGGTTTATTTCTATTCTATGGCTAAGGTTACTTGCAATATAGCAGTCAACGTCAGTAATTTGGCCTCACACTTGCAAATATGCTCTCCCAGGTCCTTCCTGCTACCTCTTCCTCCTACCTCTATGTAGCATTTTCAGTCTTTTAATCTTTCAAGGAATTTGAGCTGTAGGAAACAAGTGACCTTACAAGGTAAGGTATTGTGGGCAGTTGGCCAATTAGTCCAAGGTTAGATAGCATGTTAACTATTGAGCTAAAATCAACTCTTGAGGGAGTTTCTAGTTCACTTTGATTGGATACCCTTTGTGATGGTTCTAAAATTAGTACAGTTAATAAACTCAATTGTACAGGGGTCAAAGTTTGTGGGTGGAGGAAAAAAACGAAGAGCAAGGAGACAGTCACTCCATCAACGACGATACCTTACGCAGCTCCCCGTATTCATTCCTCTGTAACAGTGCAAAGAGCTGTCACAGTATTCTTTTGGCAGCTAAGAGAATAGATGAAAGACCCCGGAGGAAGTCCTGAGGGACTCTCGCCATGAAGGGAGCAATGAGGTTCAAGCATACAAGTTCATGAAGAAGGAAAAACAAAAATACTTGGTTTACTCCCTAGCCCCCATCCTGAAAGGCTAGTATAAAAGCAAGAAAGGGTCAGTTTAATAAATTTTCATCCTTCTCTAGTTGTTTTGTTAAAAATAATACGCCTAACAGTCTGCAGATGAGCTAAAATGTCCTTGAAGAGAGGCATGTTACATATTGGTCTGTCTAGCATTCCTAATACTGCAAAAGCCACCTTAAATCTTCCGGGAAAAACGGTGTGCTCAAAGAAAAAATCTCTAATGTAGCTGTAATTTGCTCTTATTTCTATTTCTTTTTCCTTATATATTTAAAACCATACCAGAAATAAACAGGTTTTCTGGTCACATAACAGAACAACACTGAACTGAAGCTGGCCTAACAACTAGCATAAAGCTGTCGATCCACCCTGCATTAGCAAAAATGAAAATACGAATAAAATAGAGAAAATGAAACCAAAGAGAAAAACTATAAGAGGAAAAACAAAGACAAAATTCAAATTTACTTTGAAAAATCTGGTTTTATTTTCTGAATCAAAAAGAAGTGTATCCATGTTCAATTTAGAATGCTTAACTTTCCATTGATCTCTTCAAGTACTTTCCACATATTGTTAACAGTGCTCAGAACTGTGTGGAAGTTAACATCCAATACCATGTTTTAGAGAAAAAAGTTTAACTATCGGATCTCTTTCTAAGAAACTCTTCTCAACGGCCAAAGGATTGGCAATTTTAATTTAAAAGGAAAAGATTTTTAATCATTATTGGAAATTTAAGTGACAATGGTTTTCAAGAGGTAAAAATCAGATCTCTTTTAAAACAGAAAAAATTTTAATTTCTGAGGGTCTCATACCTGACAACTCCAGTTAAACATAATACATCCCCCACCCCCAAAATTACTAAATGTATTATTTCACCTTGGAATAGGAAAATTATACAATGAAATTTTTAAATTATACTATATATATTAATATACCATTTTAACTGTCATGTTTGCTAGCAGAATTACCAAATTCTACATTCAAGGGACAAATGATAAATGCTCTTTATTTTATTTAAGAGTCCACCCCGTTCTTTGTTGTTTTTTCTAGCCTCGTATTTTAAAAATCATGACCAAAGACCAAGAGTCAATCCATTTACCTGAAATGAACAGCCAGTAGGTACTGGTCCTACATCTGTGTCCTTTAACACGTCCAGTACTCAAAAGGCAGAGGGAATTTATAAGAACATGATTTAGGAACATTTTAGAATACCAAAGGGACTCTGATCTCCACGTCCCTGACATCTCATAGACGTTATTCAGACTATTCACGTGCACTGAAGCATGTCCAGCATGCAGGCAAACTTCTTTTAGTTGTTCAAATTGAGGTAAAACAGTCAAAAAACAGTTAAGATTAACAGAAGAGGCAGAATTTAATCTTCTTTTGCTGCTTATTTCATATAAACTGATTTTTAAGTTTTCTCACAAAAAAGAGACTCTAAAGCCAATAATTTCTCCAATTTCAGTCACCCAAAAAAATAAGCTTCTTCTTTCAAAGCCATTATTAGTAAAGAATGTTTTGAAATGAAGGAAAACATTTTTTTCCAGAATCTGCATTTTGTACCTAGCGTGATACAATTTATTACTTTATTTTTCAAATTTAGAAAGAATTCAAGTCTGAGGACTATTTGATATTTTTTCAGACACCAAGCAATACCAACAAGATTCATAAATATGATTTTCTGACACAGGCAGGTAAGTGTGCTAACATCTACAAAATACAAACAGCTCTTCTTTCAAGGATAAGACGGCTGAGATTTAGTAGTTATGATTAGTTTCTCAGTACAAATACAAATTTAAATCTTGATTTTTTTTGCCAACATTTTAAATGGTCAAATTTTATTCCACTTCCAGGTTTCAAGTTGAAACAAACAAAAATAATAAAAATTACCCAACTGGCAACAAGTCCCATATTTCAATGTTATCTTTACCCCAACAATTATAACCTACTGCCAGTAATTATTTATATGTATCTACTTGTTTTTATTAAATAAGCTCTGGTCAGTTATATAAAAGAATAATTTGCAAGAATAGTACTTGGCACTGGGTTACCTTAATGCTTCTGGTATAAACAGAAGCACTTAGAAAATACCAGCTCTTAAGCACTTTGTTTCAGTAATTTGAATATCCAAAGGCATTCTTAATGTTACATTTCCATTGATAGATTCTAGGGAGTCTAGTCTCAGCCAACATGGTTGATTTTAAAAAACAAAAAAATCCCTAAGCTACATGGTAATGGAATACTACACTTGCTTTTTATATCATATGGAAACAGTTCCAGGCAGACCAAAAGGAGAAGAAAACCTGCCAAATCAAAGTACTGTAAATAAAGTTCATCTTACATACCCCAGGCAGAAAAGCTCAAAAATAAAAAAAATCAGAATCAAAAGACCACCTCCCCACGCAAAAACCCACCCAAAAGACTTCCATTCTGAGCCTAACATTTCCCTAAAATGTTAATACTAGAAGCTTTAAGGTACTTAAAGCTGTAGCGGTAACTGTAGAAAGCGCCACTGACAGAGGAAATGCCATGAAGGGTTCAGTAGCCGCCCACCCATCCCTTACCACCCCCACCCCAATAATATGTAAAAGATCCGGTAAAGTTTTTTTCTTATGCTAATAAAGGCATACCACCTAGTGTGCTAAAAGACTAAAACTAGCAGCATTAGAGCAGTAAAGTGAAAATAGGAAGCCGACAGGAATGCTCTAAACGCCTACTTAGAAGAAACAAAGCAGCAGACAGGACCCCTCTGCCCTCTCCTTGTGTTTGTAGGGAAGTGGTTGAATTAAACAGTCAGATTTACCCACATGAACAAAAATTTAACAAAGCTTCCCCAAGACACCAGAATAAAACCTGACCTTTCCAGTCGAAGGGCACAGAGAGGCCTCTTCCACGTCCTGGAGTCGAATGAATTCAAAGATTGGCAATAAAGGAGAAAAGAAAGCATTAGGGGTGTGATGGAACAAGCTGTGGAGTTTATCGAACAGTCACACCAAGTTTCTCCAGCACACGGACACCCTTTTCCTGGTATTCTTGTCGGGTCATCCAGAAGTTGTCTTTGTCTTTCATGATATCTGCTAGAACTGCACCACCCAGGAACACCATGTGCTTTCTGCGGGGTGGGTCTTCAATGCGGATCTTAAATTTCTAAAGGAGAAAGAGGAGATGATAAAATGTCACATGTGCATAGTGCTTTCTGCTTTATGACAATGACTTTTTCATATATTCTCTTGTAATTCTCACAAAAGTCCTGTGATGTAAGTAGGACGGCAGGATTTGGTATCTGAGGTAGAGACATTCTGTAATTTGCCCGAAGCTCATAGCTAGGAGATCACACATCCATCCCAGTGTGCTTAGAAGAGTCCTGATTTACACCTGCTGCCCCATTATTAACAGCACCTCTTGTCACTCTCAAGTGTCTGGATTTGAACAATAAATTCCATGATCACCCTACTGACAGCCTAAGTACCAGAGTCCTGATGTGGCAGCTTTTCCCATCAACTGGTAGATGACCACATGGGCAAATCACTTAGCTAGCTGTCAAAGGAAGAGTTTGGATAAGAGGACTTGTATGGTTTCATCAAGGCCTAACAACGCTGCTATGATTCTAGTCTCATGCAATAGAGTAAGACTGAAGTTCTTTTCTTGCAAGCAAAGCTCACTTTCTATTGTCTCAAATTCAAATGAAATGTTCTCAAAATAAACAAGGCCAAATATGGTCAAAATAAACCATGGGGATGTTGGAAAAAATGAACATACTAACTAAAATTAAAGACAAGTGGGGAAAGTTTTATACACAATAGCCAGTATTAACTGTCTACAAGGACACACCTCAATCTGTGTGGTCAGTCAACACCTGAAAGAGAAACTTTATTTTTTTTTTTTTATTTATTTTTTTAAGATTTTATTTATTTATTTTTCCCCCAAAGCCCCAGTACATAGTTGTCTGTCATAGCTGCACATCCTTCTAGTTGCTGTATGTGGGACACGGCCTCAGCATGGCTGGAGGAGTGGTGCCTCGGTGCGCACCCGGGATCCGAACCCGGGCCGCCGGCAGCGGAGAGCACGCACTTAACCGCTAAGCCACGGGGCCGGCCCTGAAAGAGAAACTTTAAAATGATGTAGCAGTTTTATTTATAGTGTCACAAATCCTGCAAAAAGACTCAAAGGAACTATGTCATTCTAAATTGCCTTATGTCACATAAACGAACAGTAGAATCTGATAATACATAACACAGAAAAACAGCAGTTTACTTACTAATCAATTCTGAGGCTAACCTACTGTTCTAGTTACTTGTTAGCTCTTAGGCAGGGGTCAGTAAACTTCTTCTGTAAAGGACCAGACAGTAAATACTTGAGGCTCTGCAGGTCTCTCTGGCAGCTACCTAAAGAAGGCAGCCCTAGAAATATGTGAAAATACGTAACACTACATAAGAGAATGAGCCTGACCATGTTCCAATAAAACTTTATTTACAGAAACAGCCGGTTTGGACACAGGGCTGTAGTCTGGCCACCCCCGCTCTAAGGGAAACGTGGCTAGCCCCTGAAGACACTGCTGCCCCTGCAGCTTTCTCAACTATCTGCTGTTTCTCTCTCACTACCTTCCTAACCCTGGAGGTTTGGCAACAGGAATTCTTCTTGTTCTTCATTGCTGCTTCTCTCTGCCTCCTCCCTACAACTCCACAGCCCCTCTGAAGCTCATTCTATCAGACTATTCCATCTACCACTCCTCCTTGCCCAAGTCATCTACAGATCCCCAGGTTGTGTCTTCTCATACCTGCTCTTACTGCACGAGCGTGCACGCTCTATTATTCCCTGACATTATCCTTAGTGACTCTGTCCTTCTCTCTCTCTCACGCTCACTTGGCAAAACACCAACTCCAGTGATCAACCCTCTACTTTGCACCTGCCCTCAAGGAACTGAACACCATAGGAGAGAAACTCAACATCCTGCTTTAAACGTATCACTTACCTCAATCAAGCCCTCAGTGCTGCTGGCAATCTCACTACATTTCTCTTCTCTCTCATCCACTCCCCAAGACAACCATTTCACACCCCCTCCCTCCTCTCAGAGCCTCCTAACTCATCTTTCTATATCCACCTTTCTTCCTCCCTCCCTCAACAGTCTATTCATCACACTAGACTTAAAGATCCTTTAAAAACAAGTCAGATCCTATCATTTCTCTGCTCAAAATCCTCCCAAGACTTTCCATCTCTCTAGGAGTAAAGCCCAACTCTATGGTAGCTGAACAAGACCCATGTCCCAAATACCTTTCTGCCGTCACCTTCCAGCCCTCTCCCTTGCTCACTCTGCTCCAGCCATGCCTGCACAATCCCACCAACTTGGGGCTTTTGCACTTGCTGTTCCTGCCTAGAAGATTCTTCCTCAGATAGTCACATAGCTCACTTGCTCATTCCCTCACTCCATTCAGGTCGCTGCTCAAGAGTTCTCTCATCTGAGAGGCTTTCCCTGATCAGGCTACCTGAAGGAGCATACCATCTCCCCAACCATCTCCCCAACCACTTCCCTTTTCTAGCCCCCAACTTATTTCACTTTTCTTCATAGTGCTTATTACTACTGATCTATTATTCATAGACTAAAAGCAGGGATTTTGTTTTTGGTTCACCACTGTTTTGTTTGTCCCAGCACCTAGAGCAGTGTTTGGCACCCAGAAGGAGTTCAAGAACTATTTGCTGAATAAATAAATGATCGCCTGAGACTGATTTTAAATTATATGTATAACCCAATAAAATCAGACAAATGAGCGAAGTACTTAGACAACATGGCTCCTTTTGAGTCTTTTAATTTGTTTAATGTATGTGAGCCCATACTCAATTTAATTTCAACAATTTGAGTCACATATGAAAGATGTAACATGAGTATCTCCAATACATGCAGTTCTCTGAAATATATAATCTCATTATCTAAAACAGTTGATCAAAGTCGGTGAGACAAAGCTCAGAGAGTAACTCAGAATTAAATGACTCTTGGTTGAGTGCAGAGTATATATAGCGTACTTCACACAGTCCAGAGTTTGTAGAAAAAAAAAATCAATGCCAAATAACCATCAACTATTACAGACTAGTTTAAAAATTTCTACTCGACACATCAACTACCAATTAAAGTCTGTTTCAAGAGCTATGATAGTTGATGGGGATGTATAAGAAGTGGAGAAATGGGGCCGGCCCGCTGGCACAAGCGGTTAAGTGTGCAAGCTCCGCTGAGGTGGCCCAGGGTTCGCCGGTTCGGATCCCAGGTGCGCACCAACACACCGCTTGTCAAGCCATGCTGTGGCGGCGTCCCATATAAAGTGGAGGAAGATAGGCACGGATGTTATCCCAGGGCCAGTCTTCCTCAGCAAAAAAGAGGAGGACTGGCAGATGTTAGCTCAGGGCCGATCTTCCTCACAAAAGAAAAAAAAAAGAAGTGGAGAAATGATGTTGTACAATGTGACTGGGGAGATAAGACACATGGAAGAAGGAACCAGAAAATAACCCAGAATCAGAAATATAAGACAGTCCAAGATTGGCATTGAAGGCTGATTACATATCCAAAAACTAAGCTAAAAAAAACCCCAAAATCCCAAGTGGGGCTTTTGTCTCTCCATAGTATACCAGCTTCTTCTCACACACTTAGAGGCACCTTGGCTCTCAGGCTGTTCATTACAGGTGAACCAGAAAGTTTGGCCCTGAACCCAGGTGCCTCCATCCACTGAACAGAGGTGACCAGGTAGTATTCTGAGACAGAGCTTACCTTGAACCATTTACTTCTTCCTTTCTTTTCAAGGCTGCACTTGACTGCATTAGGAATTTGTTTAGGAAGACTTCTTGCTCCCTCTGGTGGTTATCAAGATTCACGAGCTACTTTACAGGGTTTTAAAAGTATGTTAACAGTTGGATTATTGATTAATACTTACAGAAAGTTTTTCCACATCTCCCTTTAAAACTCGTTCTAAGTAAAGCTGTTTAAGTTCTCGTTCCAACCGTGACGGCAACCCAGGATACATAGTAGACCCTCCGGATAGTACAATATGCTTATAGAATTCAGATCTAGAAAGACACAATAGGGATTCATTGGGGGTTTCAGACCAGGAAAACAGTATATCTCAGAGTTCCTGTTATTTATGTCAGCCTCAGGGGGTTGCTGGGAGAATTAAATAAAACTCAACAAGTAAATCAGAGGGCTGAATGTTTGCTACTACTATTGTTATAACAAATCCTCCTTACATATAAAACATATAATTTTGATGAAAATACTTCTAAAGCACCTGACACACTTTCTTGCAAATGCAATTGAGTCTTTTAATAATGACAATTTACATTAGTAAACTCCCAGTATTTAAACTGTTAGCACAGTGCTCCCCTGGAGACACTGAGATGTGGGTGTTTACTATAATTAACCATATTCTACTATGACTCCAGTTCTTGCTTTTCAATTTTCCATTTGCCTTTTGTCATCTTCCCTTTTGCTCCTTTGCCCTGAGGCTGTCCACTGTTATATTCGGTTAGACTGATGTGTTTGCTTCTCACAGTAGTCCTCTCTTTCTTCCTTAAATATGCTGTTGGTTATGGTACCAGACAATCAAATCTAAAATAACTGCATATGTAGTAAAATATAATCTGAGTGAGGGTCGAGGAACTCTTCTCATAGTAAAGTTCAGGAACTGAGTCACATCCATTTTGGCCTCATTCAAACTGGCTTCCAGGTTTTTACTTACTTCCAGGTTCTCAATGGCTCAGGCTACTGTAATTCTAGCTTCTAGAAGAGCAATGTTTTTGTATTTAATTGCAGAAGTGTGCACGTGAGTGTAGAAAAAGCCAAGCAGTTGAGGGATGGCTACATGTGATACATACACATGAGCATTTATACACGTACATTTCCATATGCAGAACAGACAAAACAAAATTTGCATTGTGCTACCTTCCAATGCTAGCTCTGTGGAGAGGGCCCTGAACCTGCCTCCAGTGCTTGAGGAACGCCAAAACTTCAATTCTTACCAACAGGCAGGCACTTTTAAATACGATTTTGCTATTAGTGATCATTATATCATGGGACAAAAGCATCTACCTAATCCCCACCATGAGAAGTTATCATAATTACAAAGTCCAGATTAGATTTTTGATCATCTCCCATTAGACGTACAGCTTGCTATGAGCTGATCAGTATTTTTAGTAATTTCCATTTATTATCCTGCACCCCAGGCATCCCACCAAAATTAGCTAGGTGGTTATCTAATTCAGGGTTAAACGAACAAGTAAGCAAACATTTGCTTTACAAAACGCTTCTGAGTGGACTCCTCAATTACCTGGGTGTAAAGAGAGGCTTTCTAACTATGAGTTAAGTTCTAGATGCAATACAAGAAAAGATTATAAATCTTTTTATATGACTAAATAAAAACAAATTTTTGAATGGCCAAAAACACCATAAGCAAGAGACAAAAGGCAAATTAGGAGAAAATATCTGCAACATATATCAGAGTTAATATAAAAAGAACTTTTAAAAATTGAGGGAAAAAAAAAATCACAAAAATTCTATAGAAAACAGACAAAAGCCATGAACAGATAATTCACCAGAAAAAGATATAAAAGTGACCCTAAACATAGAAAAATATCTTCAAATTCACTCTTAAGAGAAAAGAAAATTAAAACTACATTGAGATATCATTTCTCACTCATCAGACTAGCATAAAAGTAAAAATCAAACTCTGTTAAGCTCTGGGGACACGGGTGCCCTCATATATTACTGGTGGGAATGAGAAACGGTACAACATTCATAGAGGATAATTGAGTAATAACAAAACTACATGCATGTACCCTTTGACCCAACAATTCCCCCTCTAGAAATTTTTTCAGACTATACATGTCCCAAAATGCAAAAATACAGTGTGCACAAGGTTATTAGCTGCAACATTATTTATCAGCATAAATATTGGAATCTACCTAAATAACCAAGATTCACTGAACAAACTATGAGATGTACACACAATGGAGTACTACGCAACTGGAAAAAAGAATAAGGACAATCCCTAGGAAATGGTATAGGACTGTTTAGGATATATTAAGTGAAAAAAAACAAAGTGCAAAAGAGTATTTCTAGTATGTTACCTTTTGTGTAAAAGGAAATAAGAAACACAGAAAGAATAAGCCTGAAACTAATGAGACCATTTACCTACAAGGAGGAGTAGGACTAGGGGGGAAGACAAGAGATGGGGAGAGTAATACTTCTAAGTATACTTCTTGTATAGTTTTGATTACACTGTTAATGTTAATATTCAAAAAACAAAATTAAAGAGGAGCTGGAAATATCCTGTGCCACAAAATACAACACGCTCAAGAAAAGATGGGGGCACGCCAAAGGACACCAGAGCCTGCTTGAAGGGGCTCTCGTTGGCCCAATCAGAAACAATCTGAACATCAAAATAAATAAAGACAGTAACTGGGCCGGCCCCGTGACTTAGCAGTTAAGTGCACGCGCTCTGCTGCTAGCGGCCCAGGTTTGGATCCCGGGCGCGCACGGACGCACCGCTTCTCCAGCCATGCTGAGGCCGCGTCCCACATACAGCAACTAGAAGCATCTAGTAGAAGTACAACTATCTACTGGGGCTTTGGGGGAAAAATAAAAAAAAAAAAAAAGACAGTAATAAACGACAACCCACTGAATAGAATCATGAGTCCATACTGATAATAAACAAATAAAAAAAGGGAGAAGGAAAAGCACTTCCTTATCCTCGAATGCCAATAAATATAGAAGGAATGATGAATTGGAAACCACTTTTTTGCAACCATCACAGTGAAAATGGATTTAGGCAAGCATTATCAATAGATGCTAGAAGCGGTGGGGGGCAGAATCTGATGAGGAACAGGAGATTTACATAGTCCCAAGGTATTTTCTTACAAATTACTTATAAATTAAGAAAGGAAAAATAGAAAAACTAACAGTGGAGAAAACAGGAAACGTCATTAATAGCTTAACACTAACATCACCAATAAGGAGCAAACAGACACCACCTCTGATGTGATTCCCTGAGAAGGACATATCACTTATGTAGTATTATAGCCAAAAACGCATAACCTGAATCTAATCATGAGAAAACATTCAAACCCAAATTGAGAAAAACTCTCTAAAATAATTGGCCTGTACTCTGCAAAGACGTCAATGTCATGAAAGACTGAGGAATTGTAACAAATAAGAGGCGATGAGGAGACATGACAACTAAATACAATGTGTGATCCTAGATTTGATCCTTTACCAGAGAAAAGAAAAACTGTATAAAGGATATTTCTGGGACTATGGAAGAAACTGAAATACGGTAGATAAAAGTACATCAATAATCAATCTTCTGAACTCGACAACTGCACTGTGGCTATCTAAGAGAATACCTTCATTCTTAGGAAATACAGAGTATTAAGGAGTAAAGAGCATTTATTCATTCAATCTACTCTCAAATGGCTCAAGAAAAAAAAGAGGATGATAAAGCAAACATGCAGAACGTTAAAATTAGTAAAATGGGAAACTGGATCAAGAGTATACACGAGTTTTCTGTATTATTCTTGCAACTTTCAAGTTTTAAACTACTTGAAAATAAAAAATTTGAAGTGGCTTCTGACACACAATGATATATTGTCCAACATCCAGTGCTACCCTATCAAAAAATTATTCTGCCTTATCTATTCAAAAACATGAGAGAGAAAACAGACAATATGGTCATTCTAACTATTTATATTCCATCTATTTCTGATAAATAATTGGAAACCACCATTTCTAATGTACCTGGTATCAATGTCAGCCGCCTGGATTGTGTTAAAAAGCAATTCAGCAACACCGACTCCCTCAACATTGATCAAGTGAGGCTGAAATAAAGCTTCTGGTGCTTCAAATCTCTCTCCCCCAACTTTGATAATGCGGCCATCTGGGAGCTAGAAACCAAGAATAACCAGGTATTAGTCAGCAAAAGATTAAAAAATTTCCCAGTGTTCTCTAGAAAACTAGTTAGTACTTTTAAACACATCTGTTCTATAACCAAAAGCATTATCGGCAACATATTTCTCCTAAAATACATTTTTGAAAAGGGGAAAAAAATACATTTTGATAATTAATTTTATTATCATGCTCTGTTCTATTTCTCTGCGGCCAAATATCAGAATTTCTTGGAGAAATCATCAACGCATGAGTGCATGATGGTCCACCGGTGAGTGCAGCAAACCATAAACGGGCAGCATTGATCAACTAAGGCATTTGGATTATTACTGGTATCAATGCTGCTTCTCTTATTATTTTAATACATTTGTGATTTTATGGATATTTTTACCATGTAGCACAGACACATTCAATTAAAAATTTTAAATAATTTCTTTCATTAAATAATTACTCTGTGAAACTTTGCTATTTTGCCATCAAAAACACTTTACACCATCTGTGAAACTTCTGTCAAATCATTTAATTTGAAAAATGTTCTATGATCAAGAAAGTTTAAGGATCATTGATCTAGACTACTTTACCAGGCAATTCTGTTGTCTCCTATTTACCAGTTCCTATTAAATTTTAAATGATAACGGATAAATATAATTTTAATTTAAGCAAATAAAATCTAAATAACAGGTCAGATATCGTTACATAACCTTGTAGAGAAAACTCTTTAAGTCACATCATGTTTATATTTAATTAAATGAGCAATGATAAATTTACAATAATTATATTTAGATTCCAAAATTGACTTTCTAATACGACGAAGTACCCCAAAGCAAGTTTAAACATCTACTCCATGTTTGCTGTGATTCCTTACAGATATGTGCAAAGCAATCACATTTTTCAAGAACACTAGAATTATCTTTTTATAAATTGTACCAAATTTCTAAAAAAAGATACTGATACAAACATTTACCTTAAAAAAATAAAACCATCAGGTGAGTTTAAAAACCACATGAAATCACTGGAGATATCCAGAAAAACCTCACCTGGCAGACCACTATTAGCAAAAGCTCTTTACTTTGCACTTCCAGCCTCTTGGATGGTGTGGCTTCTCTCAATGCTCTGCTGCTGGCCAGTCTAGGAGTGCAGGGCCACCCACCCTAGGAACTACCTACCTCTAGAAGCTGTTAAAACTCTATGGTTCTCATTTCTTCGCACCAGATCTTATTCTATCCTTTATTTGTCCGCCCTTATCCCTTCTCACTTACTCATCAGTTCACTGTTGCTTATTTGTTGTATATATTATTGTAACATACCTCAAATTCTTTGAGAAAGGAGGGAAGAAATAAATAAAATGTGCCTTACATTTATAGCTCCCTCATCCTTTGCTTCACACCACTTTCTTCCACACAAGTCAGGTAGATGAAAAACTATAAATCTAGAGGAACTGTCAAGAAGGCTTTAGGAAAGAATCCCCAGGGCAAATCTGGAGATCATTAAGTTGCAACGTACTGACTTACTGACTATTTGGATCAGTATCTTTTAAAAATAAAACATATAATTTATAAAAATTTATAATATTTTTTAAATGACTGTTTTGTACATATTTGTGATACGTAGAGCTTACATGAATCAAATGGTTTAAGAATACTTGCTTTTACTGCCTATTACTTGATTTCATTTTAGCAATAACTAGACTGAAGATGAGATATGGAAGTACTTTATGCCCAGATGAATATAATAAACAAGATAGCAATACATTAAAAATTCAGGTAGGATCAACCCCCTTGGTGTAAGCTATAACTAGATTCTAAGTCTCACTAGTTACAATTTCAAGTTAACATTTGTTCTGAACATCCCATTAAGAAAATACTAAGTCAGGAAAAGACTGCCACCTACTGAATTATTAAAGCAATACTCTAGGATGACTACTTCCCCAAGCATGTTTCTTAGAAAACCGGTCCCACAAAAGGCTGAAGAGTCCTATAGTCTAATAAGGTTGAGAAACAGCTACACTATATTCTCACAGACACGCACATGTTAGCATATCAAAGGCTCTGAGAAGTCCTGTAGTAAAGTAAATCCAACTCTCTCCCAAACTTATTTGACAATGCAACCCCCATTTTAATTTTTGTGAAGTACCTATTAATATCTCAGGAAGTATTATTCTGTAAAATACATGTTGAAAAATGCTATTCCAGATATTAGAATCTCAAAATAACATCTCATATCTGATTATATCCTAAGGTAGAAAAACAACTTATGATTCTTGCTTTATTTTACATTATATGGTGTCCTAAAATAATTAAATCATAGAATCTTAATGCAGAAAGACATTAAAGGTCACACATATACATATTACAACAACTCAAAACAAAAATACTGGATTCCAAGAAAACCTCCTTAAACACACACCAATAATCATGGTTGTCCATTTTAAAACCACATATATATTATACACTGGAAATACTTACTGTGTAAGATTCAACTAATACTGTGGTTTCTAAGGCCAGTTTCTGTTCTTGCTCAATATTATACCCCACATAACACAATTTTTCTTTAATCATGCGAACCGTTTCAAAATCAGCAGAATGGTTGAAAGCGTATCCTCGCAACAGAAGCAGCTGGTACAAAAAAATAGCAGTAAATTCACAATTAATCTGAATGAGTTCAACATTCAACTCTGCAAAAGCTATTATTGCTCACTAAATATGTCACGTCAATAACAAGTGCAATAGACAGTGGTCCTCAGCTCTTACTGCACACTTCAGAAACAGGAATGTTACTGGCCACGGAAGGACTCATATTTCAGCTTCACAGAGAGTAACAGAATTAACAGTTCATCAATAATAAATGGGTAAGGCCGGCCCTGTGGCTTGGTGGTTAAGTGCGCGCGCTGCAATGCTGGTGGCCCGGGTTCGGATCCCGGGTGCGCATCGAGGCACCACTTCTCCGTCCA